ACATTAACGTTAGCTTAAATTGCAGTCATTGCAGACCTTTTCACAAAATCAAGAAGGCCTTGCGACCCCCCATGAAACTTTGGCAACATAGTGGCGGTAAAGTTTAGGACTTTTCAGTGTTCTTAACATACTTGGATTTTTTAATGTAATTTATAACATCACCATAGTGTTCAAACATGAGATTCCTTTTCCATCAGTACTGTATTTATCATAGTTTTAAATCATTATTATCCCCCTTTCACCCTTTCGCCCTTCAGCTCACTGACAGATCTCAGGGGATCTCCAGAAGATCTTTACTCTGGTTTTAATTATAAGTTCAATTTTGGAAGAAGGTCAGAACTACCACCAACAAACTGTACATTTATTTTTCCTAAACGTTGATATAAACAGGATAAATAGTAAAAAAACAGCGTTCCTGTGGACTAAACCTGAAAAATAAACCTTGATGTTGCTCCGGCGGCCCGATTAGCTTTGAAGCTGCTGCTGAGTCTAAATAACTCCAGTTGGAGTTTCGGCTGTAAACAGCTGCTGCGGAGGAAAAGTTAAAAACACATCTGAGCTGCAGCGATGACGGAGCGCAGAGCCTGCCGAGTCCGAGCAACAAACTTCACGTTGAGCCAAATGTTCTCCGTCTGACTAATATATTCAACAGCAAGACCACAAAGAAGGATAACAGAACTACTCCACAACAATGTGTTAAAATGTCAGAAAATGGCTTTAAGGATTAGATTTAGATCTCTGTGATGATGCTGAAAAATGTGCCAGATGTTTGTTAGAAATATGTAAAATATGAGCCACAGTTCTGATAAAGTCTCCATGTCAGCCTCCATTTTGTTTCCTCTTATAAAGCAGAAAACATCCAATTAAAAGAAAAGATTTTAACTCGTATAAAATGACTCCATCTGGGTGGTTAATGGTTTTACTGGTGCAGCTGGGTTTAATGGCCGTCCTAACAGCAAGGTAAACGGCTGGAGGCGAACAGGTAGAGCATTTAATCTGCTCGTTATACTGCAGTACAGCTGCAGCAACCTTGACTGAAAACAGAGAGGAAGAACATGGAGAGCGGCTGAAGATAGATCGATCTAAATCAGTGGGATGTAGTAAGGAAGTGGTTCCCAACCTGGAAAGTGAAAAATGTTGGGAACCGCTGATGTAGTGTTAGAAAAGCAAACAGAATCAAAACAAATCATAATATCGAATCACAATATGTGTCGTAATCGAATCATATACATGTTGTCCCAGCCAGAGTTGTTTCTAAACATGGTTCTCCTAAATGCTAATCTAAAACTGTTGATGCAAAACAAATATTATGTTGTAATGTACAGAATAAAGCAGTTCAATAACAAACTCCAACTAAAACAACGTGTAACTGGCTAAAATAACAATTTATATTAGGTTGTAATGTGCATGGATTAATGGAGTTACACGTGACTTTTCTTTGTTTAAATATTAGCATTACATATATTGGCAGCAGGAAGTCGGCCATTTGGAATTTAAAGTCTAATTTTGGCGCCATTTCTGCCATTTTCAGGACTTCTATTTTAAATAACTCCTACAGAATTGATCGTATCGACTTAAAATTTGGTGAGTACATTTTAAAGACCTCCGGGATTAAAAGTTGTGCTCCCTATGAGTCTTCGTCGAATGCGTGGGTGAAAAAAACATCATTTCGACACAGGCCTTGTTGTAAAAGAAACACTTCAAAGAAGCAGCCCCGGCATCTCGTTTCACCGGCACGTACGAAACGTTGGAGATACATGTGTCATGTCAAGATGTACAAAAAAGCCTCTTGGACTAATTTCCTGAATCCAACAGGAATTGAATTTCATGATACATTTTGCCGCAATTTCTGCCATTTCCAGTCCTTATTCCTAACCTTAATCTGAGAGCATTCAGCTTACTAAAGTTTTACCGAAGTGATTAAACTTATTATTTATGATATTCAATTTATTGACAGCAGTGCAGGAAGCTTCCTTCAGACATTATCTCAGACTTTAGGATCGTCTGTGCTTTCAGTTGTGATTACTGTTGTCTTCTTGCCCTCAGACCGACAGCTGCAGGTGTTAAACTCCCGCTGTAATGTCTGAGGCGGTCACAGAGCATTAGTGCCGCTCGCCGTCATCGTTCTCCTCGCTGGCGAAAAGGTTAATTTGAGGGCCGAGCGAGTCGCGGAGCTTTGATGTCGATATTTGGACCGAGAGGAGCTGCCGCGCTGTTTTTCCGAGTCTCCACGGCGACGGTAGATACACTCGAGTCAGAGAGAAGAGGATAACGAGACATACCAGACCTGCAGATACCATAAGATATAATTACTGTATCTGTGTGAGCAGGGTCTGTTGTTATTGAACCGCAGAGTCACTACGAAGGTTAAACACTAAAAATACATCTCCGAGTTATTTATGAAACTGGCCTCGTTCTTTCTCAGTGAGGGGCGGCGAAGTGACTGACTGTTTTACAGCAGAACTGAAACCTAATGATGAGTTCAAGACCTGCAGTGACAGATTTTATAAATACAGTTTGATGTAGAGAAGCTCGAATAAAACCTAGAGGAGCTGTGTAGAATAGAACCACTGGTTCCCAACCTTTTTCTTAAGGGAGTCGTTACCTATCACCAAGTAAACTGACTGTTCTACAAATAGAGAACAGCTGATGAACTGAACATAAACACAAGAACTGCAGGAAGTTGGTGGAAAACCAGAGATTTGGATGAATTTCATACTTTAATAAGCTGCTTTTTTGAACCAGCTCAGTGTTTTATTCTCTCCTGATACTTGATTCCATCGTTCTAATACAGTTTGTGTTCAGCTCATCAGAGTTTAGATATTAAATAATAAACTGTAATTAGTTATTTTAACTCAGATATATTGTTGAAACTGTTCACTTTGAACATTTTAAGTTCAAACTCAATGTTGTAAGTTAAACAACATTCTTGATTAATACAAATATAGTATAACATAACAATGTTATTTTAACTTAGTAGTTTTCTACTACGCCTTAAAATCAAGAAGGTCTCCTGTGAAGCTTTAGCGATCCCTAGTGGGGGTCCCGACCCTCAGGTTGGGAACCATCTGATTGGGTGGTCTGCAGATGAGGGTCGTAGCAGCAGACACATTGTGAGGATTTGTTCCTCTTTGATGCAGCCTGCGTTCGGTCTTCAAAGTGGATCTAAGATCATCGTTTCTGATTGACGCACGGAGATTTCACAAAGTCTCTCTCACAACTGCCAACTTTCATTTAGGAGAGGAAGCCTTTATCTGAGTCAAACGAGAACACGAGTGACGTTTTGGACCAGTGCGTCACTCAGATAAAACTTTATTTAAGTGGATTGGTCCTTTAGGTCCAGCAGCGTTACTATGGCATCACCATGATCTGCATCTGACGGATTATCAGTCAGAGAGAAAACTGCAGACTGCTCATCGCCTGTTCACCCGTCTGCTCCATCCCACAGCCTGAGAGCATTACTGCAGTATAATACTGTTATAGTACA